TTGCGTGCTTTTCTGCTCGAAGTAGGTCGGCTTCGTTGAGATCACCAGAGACTGCCACTTGATTATAGTATTTCTCTAGGAATAGAGTTCGTACCTCGATAGCGAGTGGCTCAAACCTAAACTCATAGTGGTCAGGTCTTTGGGGTCCAATCCGTTTAAAAGCGTGGTAATCTGTTCTCGTATCCCTCGGTACAGATCCAATAGTTCATCCTGGGTTGCTTTAGAGTATATTTCAATACCAAGCTTTTTCGAAATCGCCTTTCCTATAGAATAGTTATAATGGGTAACGAGGCCAGTTAGCAGGCAACTCCTTGCTCACCGAGTTTCGTATCAGACACGGCAAGGACCTCTTTTCCTTTTCCCTTTTCTATGACTTCGTTTGTCAAGAATTGCTTTAGTGTCTTTGGGATCTTCCCCTCCTGAATAGCCGTTAATTCCTCGACGGCAGCGGCAGTTGATTGAAAACGATGTAGTGCACGTAGTTTCAACCTTAATCGAACGTGATCAGCTCAATAAACCATGCGCTCCTCGTGTTTGTAGTGGAACTCACAACTGATGTGCTTTTTCAGGACTTTCGAACTCTTTCCATAGCGAAGACGGTTTCTCCAACTTTCCAGCATCAGAAACTTTGAAGAGACAGAATCCCAGTGCTGTCTCGTATAAGACGAGCATTTTTTGGTGGTTGGAGTGGTCGAAAATACAAAGTTCAATGGATCCTCGTTTACGCCCTGTGGCTCACAATCTCCTCCATACCATGTCCGACAAGGAGACTGATGCTCCAGTAGTAAATAAGAATAAAAGACATCGGAAGGACAAACGTATGTACAGAACCAATACGCGAGAAACCCTCTGATATCACGTCAGCTTGGGATACGGATGATATTGACCAGTAAATAAGCTATGCCTTTATACCCTAAAAATCATGCTAACTGCGTCTTTTTATTTCTGAACAGTGTATGCATCTACATCTATTCATAGTCGCGCTTACCAACTTGGGTTTTAGTGGAAAATCGATGCTTTTACCAGCACGGACAATAAGGGTGGACCACTCACCGAGGAGTCATCTTTTGCTACCCTGTTTCCAAAGTATAGAGAAAAATATCTTCGAGAAGTTTGGGGAGCGGTAACGCGCGCCTTGGAGCCACATGTCAGTTCACCTCCAGTTCCATTTGTGTTTTGACTTAGCACAT